CCACCAGCATGAATTCTCATTTAATGAAGCGACCTTGTCTCCTGCATCCGTGCATCCACCCACTGACAAACCTGCACGGCGTCTCCAGCATCTACTCCAGCGCTGACGGATTCAACCCAACACTGGTGAACGGATGGTGCCCACCCTCCACCACTCACCACAGCCTCCATGCACAGGGTCTTCTCTCAGGGCTGCTCATGTCCTGACCCTCAGCCTGAAGACCCCACTGCCAGGCCTACTCTGTGATATGACATATGGTCCATCGCTGATGGTCCTGATCTTGTAGTTGGAGAGGTGGTTGGACAGGTGACCCACAGCTGGATCCCCTTGGATAATGTTGTTCTCTTGATGAGAGGTCACCCTGTCTCCTGAAAAGCCCAGGGCAGCAGCAGTGCTGTGGTGTGGACATGGGCATGAAGTTCTTCTGGAAACCAGGCAGACAGTGCTGCTTCTCTACTTTTCCGAGGATGTCGCTCCTGTCTTTCTATGCGCTGTGTCCCAGCCCTTGGCTTCTCGAAGGTGATTAGAGCTGAGATTAGGCTGGAGGGGAACTCGACTCGGGTAGATTGATCTCTGTGGATTTAATGGCAGTGCAAGGGGCCCTCTGGGAATCTGAACTATGGTGTCACCCGTTAGAATAGAGAAAGGTCCCCTGTTCTAGGAAGTGGCATTTGTTCTGTGCATGAGATCTGAGTGAAAGGAAGACCAGACACCTGGCAGCTGTATTCAGGAGGTGCTCCCTGACAGGGTCTGTCTCCTGGCTAATTCCCTCACCCAGAAACTTAGAAGGGAAGTGAGATCTTGGGGAAGAAAAGTAAGGTATTTCCCCAGCTGGACTGGATTTGGCAGACTGGGTACATGACCAGTTGGATACTGGAGATTTAGTCCTCCTTCCAAATTCAGGGTTTCTGAGATCTAGGAAATAAGAGGACATAGGCTTTGGACCCCAGCATCTCCCCTGTCTCATGGATCCCAGGTAGCATTCAGATAAATTGAGGCATCGACACAGTCAACTTAATTGAAGACTGAGCCCCTGATATTTCCAACTTGGAGTAGGGCTGAGCTGTGAGGCTTGTCTGACTCTTGTGAGAATATAAGTGTGAGGGTGAAGGTAAAGGGCATATGGTGGGGCAAGTCTCCAGTAACTTGAGTCACAGTCCTTCAGCTAACAGAAGTTCAGACTTCATGAGGACCACCCAACTCAGTTGTATCCCAACGAGTCCACACACAGGAATTATGATAGGGAGACACCATGGAACACCGTACAAATAGATCCTGAGTTTAAGATCATCAGGACTAGGAGAGGTTGGCCCGGAAATCTCTCTATAGGACCTGACCCTGGAACTGAATTTTCAGAATGTGGTTTTTGTTGTTAGATGCTGACAAGTTGGTTCCTACTCATAGCTATGCTATGGACAACAGAACGAAACACTGCCTGATACTGTACCACCCACACGATTGTTATTATATTTGAGTCCGTTGTCATTCTCACTGTCAATCCATCTCCTTGAGGCTCTTCCTCATTTTCCCTGACCCTCCACTTTGCCAAGCATGCTGTTTTGATCCCTCCTGAGAATATGCCCATAAAACGAGAGATGCACTCTTGCCATCCTGTCTTCAAAGGCACACTTCTTCTCAAACAGATTTATTTGTTTATGTGGCAGTCCATAGAACTTTCAATATCCTTGGCAAACACCATAAATCAAATGCATAGATTCTTTTGCCATCTTCCTTATTCATTGTCCAACATTCACATGCATATGAGGCAATTGAAAATACCCGAGCTTGGACCAGGAACCTCTTAATTCTCAAACTGACAACTTTGCTCTTTAGACTTTTGAATTATCTTTTCCAGCAGATTTGCCAAAGGCAATATGTCCTTTGATTTCTTGACTGCTGCTTACATGAGTGCTGATTGTGGAGCTAAGCAAAATGAAGTATTTGACAGTTTCAATCTTTTCTCCATATATCATGATATTATATATTGGTCTAGGTATGACAGTTTATGTTTAAAAAAGATATTTTCAGTGAAAAAAAAATTAGTCTTGCAAATTTCTATCATGCAATCTCCAGCATATCTATCGCCAAGGTCATATTTCCCAACTATAATCCTTCCTCTTTATTTTCATTTTATACACTCCAGTCACCAATAATTATCAGTGCATTTAGAGTGCATGTTTGCTTCATTTCAATCTGAAGAAGTTGATAGAATTCTTCAATATCATCATCACTGGCCTTTAGTGGTTGGTGCATAAATTTTAATAATAGAGGTAGTGACTGATCTTCCTTGATGATAAGTATCATCAAGTCTATGCCAATTCATTTTAACCCTGAATAGGGTTTCCAAGGAGTGACTGGAGGGCTTGAACCATGAACTTTGCTATTAACAGTCCAGCACCACACCCGGACTCCTGGTTTTCCTTGTAAGCATATAGATATTATCCTATCATAATGAACATTGTACTTCAAGATAAATCTTGAAATGTTCGTTGTTGTTGTTTTTTTAAAGTTTTTATTGTGGATTGAGTGAAAGTTTACAGGGCAGATCATCAATTTTACATTCAACTAATGACACACCTTGTTTCATTATAATGATTATAATCCCCTCCATGTACCATTAGGTAACAGTATTTCTCTCTATTCAATTTAGCTAATTTTTTAAAAATGCTCAGGCATATATAATAATTTACACCACCTCAGCTGCTCCCTCTCTCCATGTCCCCATCTCTGCCTCCATTTCTAGGGTTGCTGCTTCTCTGGATAGGGTCCCGCATTCTGCTTGTGCTCTTCTCCCTTGATGGATCTTTGGGTCCTTGGTTTCTTGACTGTAAGAGTAACTACTCCCTCGTTTTTTATACAAAATCTTTACAATTGTGACAGTCACAATTAGTCATGATAACAATAACTCACTATTGAATCATAAGAATCTTATCCCCAACTCTTTTCACCAGACCCATCTAGACAAGATGAAAACTATTCAGTGGGGACTCTCTCTTCCCCCACACACTCTTAAACTAAATTCCCTCTTGAAACCTTGTAAGCCAGTCACTTCATGCCTTTATCGCCCCCTCATTTAAGGTAGCCAATATCTAAGTTGCCCATCCCTATCTACTCTGTATACAGAGGGGATAGCATTGATATTTGAGGTGAAGACTCCTTCACTCTCTGTTGGTATTTAGAGTTACTACTCCCATGAGTATAGGTCAAGTTCATCAAATTGTAGCAATTTACCCTAGTTTCCTTTATCAAAAATTTGTGGGTTTTTTAAAAATCTTTCTCTAGTTAAATTCTGATTATCAAGCCATCAAGGCTAGGTCAGATGGGTACTATCTGCCAGTTTGGGTGTTCTTGTGCATCTCCCCTCACTGCATATCAGCTGGATGCTCCACTCTCAACTCTAGCCCTCTGTGGCTATGTCCTTGTCCATGGGCTCAAGTGTCCCCAGGTCTTACCACATTTTGGACCAACCAGGCCTTCCTCTTCTCTCTCTCATCTCCAGATCAACAGGAGTCAATGGACTGGGGTTGAACTCAGCCCATTTCTTTATTGCTGCCCTTCCCCTTCTTCCAGTCACCAGTAAACCAACATGTCACCAGCAAGCTTACATGCCTGTTCATGTGTTCCCTTTGAGTTTCAGTCTTAGAGGGGGGTTTGTCCTGAAG